GTATGTGAGATGTGTGTGGGTGTGTGTATGTGGTGTTAGAGGAAGTGTGTATATGTGTGTGTTTATGTGTGTGTGTGTATGTGAGGGGTATGTAAGTGGTGTGCATGTATGTGAGTGTACATGTGGGTATGTGTGTAGGGTGTGTGTGTGGGGAGTGTGGATATGACTATGTGGGTATGTATGTGTGTGGAGTGTGTATGTGTGGGGAGAGTGTATGTGTGTGTGTGTGGAGGGGTGTATGTGGGTGTGTATGTGTGTATGGGAGAAGTATATGTGTGTGTTTATGTGGGTGTGTTTGTGAGTGAGGTGTGTGTGGGGAGTGTGTGTATGTATGTGGGGGTATATGTGTGTGTGGTGTGTATGTATGTTGGTGGGTGTGTATGTGTGGCGTGTGTGTATCTGTGGGTGTGTACGTGTGTGGGGTATGTATTGTGTGAGTGGGTATGTGTGTGGGGTGTGTGTCTGTGGGTGTGTATGTGTGTGGGGTATGTGTATATGTGGGTATGTGTGTTAGGTGTGTGTGTGGGGAAAGTGGGTGTGACTGTGGGTGTCTATGGGTGGGGCATGTATGTGTGTGTAGGGGGAGTGTGTGTATGATGTGTGGGTTGCTGTGTGTGTATGGGGGAAATATGTGTATGTGTTCATGTGGGTGTGTATGTGAATGGGGTGTGTGGGAAGTGTGTGTATGTATGTGGGGTGTGTGTATGTGGGTGTGGGTGTATATGGGCGTTCATGTGTGTGTCTGTGGGTGTTTATGTGTGTGTGGTGTGTGTGTCTGTGGGTGTGTGTGTTTGTGGGTGTGTGTATATGTGGGTGTGTATGTGTGTGTCTGTGGGTGTGTGTATATATGGGGTGTGTGTATGGGGGGGAATTGTGGGTGTGTGGGTGGTGTCAGGGGACCCTGGATGGAGCCCCAGGACAGCCTGCTGAGGGTGGAAGTCTGGGTGGCAGCTGCTCAGGTCTGACTGCTGGGCTGCAGGGAAGAAGGAAATGCCAGGCTGAACTCACAGGTAGGGAGGAGGAGAGGTGGGACAGTGACAGGTCAGTAAAGAAAAAGCATTCTGAGAAAAGCCTGTGCTCCTTACTGTATGCTGCAGGGGCTGAGCCTGCGTCCCTGCTGGCACCCGCTGGGAACCCCCTTTGCTGGGTCCCCCCAGCCTCACCTTGTTGCTTCTCACTGGGGCCGTTTTCGGTTGGCGCTGCTTCTCTTTGTTCTGTTGTCCCCCAGTGCAGTGAACCCTTACATTATGGGTTTCTGTTGTAGTTCTAACCTCTAATACACAACCATTACATCTTATCTCGTCTTCTAAATTACTCTAAAATCCAATTATAAAGCCCTCTCTCCTTCAAGAGCACACAACTTGCCGCATTACTGAAATGCTGGGCTGCTCTTTTGTTTTTCTAAATTAATAATAACTACCATTTTCCGTCTGCTCTTACCATGGGACTCTTTTTTATCACCACACAGCTTTCCAAAATGCATATTATGATTCCTTCTGCCTCTTTGCTGGGCTGCAAAAAAGCTAAGGATGATTTTCCAAATATTCATAAAAGATCTGTCAGTTGATTTTTAGTATAAAAACATTGAAAACTACAATCCTTAACGAAGAAAGCATTTTAATATTTATCAGTTAAAATTTCACTATTACTTTCTTTTGTATGGGCGAAATAGAAGTCTATCACTTTTAAGGTTTTAAGAGATTTGAATGAATTTTATGTGTTAGATAAATTTTTTATGGGTTGAAAACTCTTAGTTTCACTAAGATTTCAAAAGCACAAACGATATATAAAATCCAGGTCCCCTTGTGAGTTTCTTGAATTTACAGGAGGGCAGTGACTATTCTTAAATATACATTCAACTTCTACAAGTTACCAAAATATTTCAGGAAGAGACAACATGCCCAGAACATATAAGAAAAAGCCTTAACAGTGTCAGGAATATCCTCAAACACTTTTTCTGACAAAAGGGTAGTCGTGGTTTTCAATACTAGAAAATTGCTCTTAGGAAAATATGGTTATGTTCAAATTTGATATTAGAAAAAGAAACTTGACTTAGTATTTTATAATCACAGGCATGTAACTGAACTGTGATTGCTTTTCTTACTTGCAAATTCTTACTTTGGTCGTGTGGAAAAAGTATATTTGACATACCTAAGGCATCTGATTATGCAGTAACAAAATATGCTTGCTCTGTGATTATTAAAAATATGTGTATAGCTAATCAGCCACTCTGCTTTCAACTTCACGAGCTTGGGCAATGTTCAGTGGAGCTCTTCATTGTACCGTCTGTATTTATGAATGATTCTTTCTCATGCTCAGGCTTTAGCTGCTTAGGTTAAATATATTATAAAATGTAGGAAAGATTGGAAAAGTCCTAAATTACAAATTAAATTTCATTCAAACATTTAAATAATAACAACCTATCTAAGGATTTTGTGTAGTTATTGTGCCCTGAAGTTAAATCTCTACCCCCTTAAATATTAAATACAGGAGAAGCCAGTTGTTTCTTTAATAAGTTGGTTCTATTTAAGGGTTTTCAGAGGACAAAGTGAAGGCCAAGAGAGAAGATGGCATGCAACTGAAGCAGCACCACTTGGAATGTATAGGCTAAATAGATGAACCAGAAGGACATGCTAATCACCAAATAACATCATCAAATACAAAATATAGGAACATGATTATCATGAGCAACAACTCAGGGAAAAATGGACATCAGGAACAAGAAAATTATAAATGATACATAAAAAACAAAAATTGTAGTTTTTCATTCTTACAATATATATTACATATACAGTATCAAAACATATGCAAATACGCACTATATATTGTATGTTCTTTTGAGTTGTTTTGTACAAATAGACTCTATAATCTTAATTTAATCATAGTGGACACATCCATATTATCATTTAACATGTCAGCTCTGCATCCCAGCATAGCTATGTTTCCGTAACTCCCTCCCTTCTCTTTCCTTCTTTCCTTTTAAAAAAATTTTCTGTGAAAATAAGAAAACTTAAAGTTATTTTCCCTTGCACTTCTAAATTTTTAAAAAATTTAATTAATTTTGTTGTTGTTGTTGTTGTTTTTTGAGACTGAGTCTCCCTTTATCACCCAGGCTGGAGTGCAGTGGCAAGATCTTGGCTCACTGCAGACTCCACCTCTGGGGTTCAATCGATTCTTGTGCCTCAGCTTCCCAAATAGCTGGGATTATAGACGTGTGCCACCATACCTGGCTAATTTTTGTGTTTTTAGTAGAGACAGGGTTTTGCCATGTTGTGCAGTCTGGTCTTGAACTACTGGTCTCAAGTGATTCCCCACCCTAAGCCTCCCAAAGTGCTAGGATTACTGATGTGAGCCACAGTTCCCGGCTGTACCTATAAATTTTAAATATTATCTTTTAGTTTCAGTGCAGGCTAAACATCACTAGTTTTGTTGGATTGTATCTAGCGTAATTCACGTATTAGTTTAAAATGTAGATGTTTTAAGAATTGACATTATCTACTTTATGTACTCAAGCATTCTACTAATATATTCTTTGAGGCTCTTCAATCTTTTATTTCTAATTTTTAATACATTTCTAGTTAATAAGTCAAACTTTTACCATTTGAACAAAACAGATTCAATTAACATAATTCCAATATATGGGCAGCCCTTGTAGAATTGATTTCCTTTTTTAAACCAAGAGTGCATCTCCTGTCATGTGTGAGTGTTGTGTAGCAAACTTAAAAAGAAACATTTGAATTTATGTCGCCTTTTTTTCATACTTTATGGGTCTTCATTTTTTTAAATTTAAATTAAGATTTTGGGGGTTTGTTAGCAGGTTAATGTATGGACTATGTGATCTCTAAGCTCTTTAAAATAATCTATTAAGCAAATAAAAACTGACTCTGTGATACATGACATTTAGAAAATAGTTTCTGGAAGATAAACCATAGTGCCCTAATTTATAAGCTACTTCGAGCAGGTCTTTGAGGCTTTGTGTCAATTTGGAGACAGACCAGACCTTGGACCACAAGAGCACCATTTGGGGTGACGTATCAGTAAATTACTTTTCAGTACCCTAGAGGACCAGAAGAGTTAATGCAGCTTCCAGGAAAACAAAACATCTGGCGGTGTAACTCAGGTGGGATGGCCGGATTGGATTTGTCATAGGCATGTCTCAATTGTGACTTCAGGGTGTGAGCTGTGACAGTGCATCAGGGCTTCTCTTCTCTTCTCTTCCACCCGCTATGTTTCTAGGGGACTGAACATCAGTTCCCCTCCCTGCAGAGTTGCAGCACTGGGAGATTATTATGGTCTTAAAAGTGAAAGCCTATAATTTAAGGTCGTAACACCATCTTTAAAATGGAGATTGAAATACAGCGATATAAAATACATAAAGCGTCAAGATGTAGCAAATGTCTCTTCCCATTGGATTTTTCCATTTACAAGAGGGTAGTAATACCATGTATATTTTCTCGAAATATATAGTATATTTTCCATATTGATTGTGTAGCTTTTTTATTTAAAGTGGAGCTGGTGCCCTGATAGACCCAAATTCCTTTCAATGCCTACTAAATAAAATGTTTTGGCACTTAAAAAGAAAGATAAAATAACACAAAATAAAATTTTTAAAGCCTAGAAAAGAAGGCTCCAACTTTCTAATATATCAAATATTTACTAAGATATCAAATATTTCTAGAAAATAACATCTTGATGAGCTGGTTATAAATGAACATGTGGATTGTGTTTTCCTTAATATACCAATAGTTTATCGTGGCAGAAATAAATGCTAAGAACAGAAAGGATCCCCAGTGCTAGATCCTTGACTTTGAGAGCAAAGGAGCTCAAGACATTCAGCAAATTCAAAACATCCCCTTTACCCACCTTTTAAGATTATGTTTGTACAGTTATTTCTTATGACATTTCAAAGCTTCTTCATAATTCTAGGTATTGATTTGAAAATGCCAGTTTTCAATACTAAATAATGGTGGAATAAAATTTTCTGTGAATCAATTTTTCAGCCACAAGAGGACAAACACTGTATGGAAAATGATTCTACTTTCACCAGGAAGGAAATGTCATGGGCCTCCGAATTGGGAGGGGGAAAAAAAATCTTGCAGCAGTGCCTATTGGAAATTACCAGGAATAAATATCTTTGTTTTCTTGAAATAAAGTTCAAGGTAACATTTAAATGAATAATTATTTACCATCTTGTTAAATGCAGGCGTGTATGGTGGGCACCATCTATTAGTATAAAAGCTTTTTCTGCTTAGAATTGCTCATTAGCTTTTTTGTAGGCTGTACTGGTTTTAAGATTCAGATTCAAAATCTCCTCTGATTTTGCTGTTCCATTTCTGGCAGCTGGCCAGTGGCAGATATGCATAATATTTCACTGTTAGACCTTGCAAACATTATATCCTGCTGTGCTAAAGAAAACATTGTGTTTCTTACCACATGAAAATAATCCATCACTTTTCAATCAGCACACAAAAAAAGCTCTACCTGTTTTTTCCATCAGACTCAAGAAAAATTAATGGCCCCAATGTGAAAGGTGGACCCTCCATACATGATCCATTAAAGTGCAAACTAATCAAAATATATCTAGCATCTGATTTGCTAAGCAAGATGGAACAAAAGAGTTGCGATGAAAAAAATAGATCCTTCTAAGACCCATACAGCCTTGTTCTATCAGTATTAACCTTATTTATTTTAAATGTGGGAGAACATAAATAAAAAATCATGAAATGAATCCGTTGAATTCAATCAATTCAAATAGACACTGTATTTATCTGGAAGAGATGGCTAAAGATACTTCATGTGGACTGGAAGAAATTTTTATAATAAAAATGTTTTTTAAAAAGTAAAGAAAGACAGATTATAAATCCCCCAGTGGGCCACTAGGCAACACAATATATTAAAGTAAAATTTTCTTTGGGAGTGAAAAAAATCAGTATTTTGTCAACTTGTTCATGCCTTTAAAAATAATTTCATGCCTTTTGCAATGCTGATGTTGTAGCTAGTTTTGAGTGAGGCATGAGGACTTCCCTTTCTAGAGCCCTACAACTTTTGTAACAATATTCTAATCAGAGAGATATCAGCCATATCAATGGAGTGCCAATTAAAAAACAATCCATTTTATGACTTTTAAACACATTTGTTGCAATTGCTTGGCCTTCTTTACTACTGCCTGGTTCTGGGAAATTATTTTCAATTTCTCTCTCCTTTTCTTTCTTTCTTTCTTTCTTATTTTCTCTCCCTTGCCCCCCTCATTTATTCTCACTTTCTTGTGGCGTGACCTGTGTCATATATAGTTTAATGAATGTAATAAAAAATACAGACAATGGAATGTAATGCTAATACTAAGAAGGTATCTATGATAGCAAATAATTTTACACAAAAGTATATTTTTATATTTTTGTAACCTCAGGTTTAGAATTCCACACTGCATTTTTAACTAGTATTCCAGTTTCTGTCTTCTTTTTTTCCATCTCAAATCCATGTTGAAACAGTCTTTACACTGGTCTTTCTAAAGCATAACTGTATTTATATCCCCTCTCATATCACAGTCTCCCTTTAGTTGATGTCCATTGAATGAGAGAATAGAGTTTCAGAGTTGGAAGGCTCAAATATAATCATTTCACATATGAGCAAACAAGCTTAGGGATTTTAAGGGATTTGTCCAAAGACACGCAGTTTGTGAATGATAGCTCTGGAATCTTCAGGAGCCTCAGTACAGCACTTTCACCACTACACAAGTGGTTCTCTCCTAGAGTAGTGCTTCTCAGACTTTAACTGGTATGCAGATGATCTGAGGATCTTGTGAAAATACAGAATCTGATTCAGTAGGTCTGGGGTTGGGCAGAAAATCTGCATTTCTAAGAAGGTCCTAGAGCATGCCCATGCTGGTTTGGAGACCACACTGAGTCGCAAGGACCTAAGAACTCTTTCAAATTCTTACACTGGTTTTCAAGGTGCTTTAAAGTGTAGTCCTGTGTCCCACTGTCCTGTACGAACACTCCAATATAGTTATGCAGAGTACTTGCTAGCTTATTGAATACCTTTTGAGTATTCTGACTCTTTTTTATTTATTCATCCTCCCACCTCTCTCTGCTTCTTTGCAATTGCATGTCTACACTTCCTTTCAATAGCAAAGTTATATCCCATCTTCTCCATAAAGACTTTCTCATGACCAAACATAAAATGATCTTTGTGTCCTCTGATTATCTCTATCACTCCTTAAAAGCTTAATAAGTCAATAGCTACTTATCAAATAAAAGAACAAAACACATGTATAAGTGAATCAAATAGCAGCAGTGAACGAAGGGCATTCAGTTGTACAAGGCAAGAGAAACTGAAATTCCTGAGATCTGCGGAAAACCTCAGAATTAATAAAAAAGGTTTCCTCCTTTTCTTGACTACACCTTGTGCTAAAAATACTTCTGGGTTAATTGCAGAAAATGAAGCTTAGAAGACTGTGAATTGTCATAGGGCAAGGATCATCAACATTTGTTGTAAAGAACCAGATCGTATATGATCATGTCAGCTGCATGGTTTCTATGGCAACTACTGAACTCTGCCATTATGGTAGGAAAGGAGCCATTGGTAATACGTAAACAAATGGATGTGGCAGTGTTCAATAACACTTTGTTTACAACAAGAGGCAGCAGCCAGATTGGCCTGCCTGTAGTCGTTTACCAATCACTATCATAGATGATAATCAAATCTATATTAAATAAGGAATGAGAAGGACTTATTGAATCCACAGTTGTTAATTGTAGCTTAACTAACTCTGTAATGGGGAGCAAATCTTAAGAACTGGGTCAGTCCAGGGCAGAGAAGAGATGCACTGGGCAATGCAAGAAATCCAAGAGATTTTTCAATGAAATAATCTTTGATGGAGCCCAATCCAAATCATATTTATAACACACCCAAACTCAATTTTCAAAATCCTACTACCTTGACATAAGGGTGTGACACATAGGTCATATAATTGGCAGCACCCTGTTAGAAATGTAGAATCTCAGGCCTCATCCTTACACATTACCATTAGTGCAATCTGAATCTCACCAAGATCCTCAGATGATTCTTATGCACTTTACAGTTTGAAATCCCAAAATGAGGTATGTCAGTGATCTGCATCAGAATCCTATGGGAGCTGGGAAAAATGTCAGTTTTGGTCCAATCCCAGACCTACTTAATCAGTGTCACTGGGGATGGTACCCCAAGTTTTTAAAATATAAATCCACGTTGGAACTCTAAAACTATTGATTGTGAGCTACAAGATTGACACTAGTTGTTTCCATTCCATCCCTTCTGGCTTCATTTTTTTTGGCAGCTGTACTTGTTTTGTTAATCTCTTTCCTATTCTCTTTTATAATTTTTAAAAATAAAATTTTTTTACGGATACATAGTATTTATACATATATATGAGGCACATGTGATATTTTGTTACATGCGTAGAATGTGTAATGATAAATTATGGAATTTGGGGTATCTATCACCTCAATATTCATTTCTATGTGTCAGGAACATTTCAAGTCCTCTCTGTCAGGTATTTTGAAATATACAATACATTGTTGTTAACTATAGTGACCCTACTCTGCTGTCACTGTTCCCTCTTCCAGCTCTGAATTATTTGCTTTTCTTAACATAAGAGTAACCTTTATTTTTTCTTAATTTTTGGTCAACAAGAATATATGTCCATAAAATGATATGAAGACTATTTTATTATCTTACCAGATGGTACCAAGGTTCCCTTGTGGAGATGATTAAGTCTGTTTGGGAGAAGCTTTTGATAAGCCACTTGGAGTATAGCACTGCAAAGGCATGCTCAAATAATAACATGGTGATTAAAATGTTTTCTAAAAATGGGAAGACCTATTAACTGCATGACCTTTTGTTTTTGCCTGGGAATATACAGGTTTGGGGTGGAGGCCAATTGCTTTGGAAACTTGTATACTTTGTTCTACTTTTTCTTCCATAAAATGCTGGTTCAGTAGAAAAAAAAAATCTCAATTGTATTAAGGGAGACAGGACTTTGGAGTGTGGCAAGTGTCATGTGGTTGTAAGATATGTGATACAAAGTATCCTGATCGTCCTGCAACATCTTCACCAAAGTCTCCACTGCTTACTATGACTCTGTTTTCTTACAGGGCTTTTCTGGAGTGAGGGAGCAGACTGAGGGAAGAACCAGAAGGCTGCCAAAATGTAAGTCATGGTGGATATGATAGACAAAACGACCGGGGAATAAGAGGAAAGCTGACATCAAGGAAATATGAATATCTGTCGAGAAGATTAGGGCCACCCTAATAATGTGTTATTAATTTGCACATTTTAAGAGGAATTTACAAATCCCTCGTTGCATCAAAAACATCCGTCCTTGGGCCTATTCCCATATATTCTCATTCAGTTGGTCTGGAGTGAGACCCAGACATTCAACATTTTTTCAAGATCAGGTGAATCTGAAAGGTGCAGCCAAGATTGAGAACTAAAGTGAGGAATCTAAAATAATCCAAGCAATGCATGTTACAACTGATAAAGTAGAAAAGTACATACAGATACAATTCCTTTCTCTTTTTTGTCTCTTTTCTTTCTTTCATCACACAAATGATTTTTAACTATTGTTCTGATAGTTTTTATTAATAAGCACTCAATATATGTGTTGCATTCCTAACAAAGAGAGAAAAATAACATGAACCTAATCAATTAGTATAGATTTATCTAAAATATTGTAATCTATGGCTTCTTGATTATTAAAGAAAATAAATAATATAAATTTAGTAGTAATAGAAATATATGCACATCTGGCTTGACAGTTTTGTGAATATATATTAGTCTACATTATGTTTGAATAGCCTTTCTTTACCAGGTTAGTAAATTTCTCACAAACCTTTTTTAAGAGTCATTTTATTTTAGTGTAGGTGTTGAGGGCTTGGGATATTTTGAAAAAAATAGTACATTTAAAATGTAGACATTCATTCAATGAGTATTCTTAAACTGCTCTGTAATAACTCAACATGGTAAAGGCTACAGAGAAATGGGAAGGAAGTTCAGGTGAGGTTGAGAAGACTAAAGGTAAGCTGTATAAAGAAAAAAAAATCATTGGTAATAAATAATTCATTAATAGATCGACTCATAGAGATCACCACCGAGTCAGCAAATCTGCAGCTAGGATTAACTGACTGCTGTGCCACAGGGTTGGCATAGCTGGGATTGACTGACTGCTATGCCACAGGGTTGGGCTGAGAATAGTAGGGGGGGTACTAAGTTGGATACTCCAGAAAAATCTCTCCTTATATAGCTCTTCTAGCATTGGAGAGAAAATCAGAAAAATAATCTAAGGCCTTAATTTAGCACAACATTACCGGCTGGTTATTCGAAACATCCCCATGGTCAAAGAGTTTACCACAAGCGTCTTTACATAGCTATGTTTTTAGTGCTATGGTTGTTTACTTGAGAAAAGTCTTCCTAATATCCTAATTGTGTCTATATTGACATAATAGTATTGGTTTATTGAACTCATCTCTTTACATTGATAGCCTTTAATAGAAAAACATGTATCTATATATATTCACCAAAGATTAATACACTATATTGTAACCAGTCCCATTAGAACAGATAACTATGCTCAAAAAATTTCAAGAAAGTGATTTATTTATTTTAACAGTTTCACTGAAGTATAATTGACATTCAGTAAACTGTATGTATTGAAAGCGTGCAATTTGGTTTCTGACATGTTATACACTCATGAAACTAACTGCAATCAAGATAACAAACATATTCATCATTCCCAAGAGTTTCCTCATGCTCCTTTATAACCACTCATGCACTCCACTTCCTTGCTGAAATCTCTGCACTGGTTTCTGCCACCATAGATATCAGTTTTGTCTAACTTCTTTCACTGAGAATAATTATTTTGAGATACATCTTTGCTATTGCATGGATCAATCATTCATTCTTTTCTCGTTCTGAGTAGTATTTCATTAGATGCACAATTTGTTTACCTGTTCCCTTGTGAAGAAGAAACATTTTGGCTGTTTATTTTTGCCAATTGCAGATAAAGCTACTATGAATGTTTGTGTCGAAGTCTTTGTATGGACACCTGCTCTCATTTCTTGGGTTCATGCAGAGAAGTGGAATGCTGGACTGCCTAGTAGCTGCATGTTTAACTTTTAAAGAAAGTGCAGAACTATTTTCCAAAAATGCTGTAGCATTTTACTCTTGCGCTTCACTCCCCTGCAGAAGTCTCTGCACTGTTTGTAAAATGTAGGTCACTGCTTGCTGTGTTTAAGAGTTTCAGTTTCTCCACATCCTCAACAACATTTCATATGGTCAGTATTTTTAATGTTGACCATTATAATAAGTATATATATATATTTTAGTGGAACTTCAGGTGAGTGATTTTAAAGACTTCCTTGCTAGGAAATAGGAAAATAAGAAAAATGCATTCAGTCCTCTTTTTCTTTCTGCACTGTCTTAGATATTTCAGGTTCGGTATCTGTTCCAAAACCTTTCTCTCTGCTCTACCATGGCCAAAAGAGTTCATTCACCTTTCCCCTTTGACTCTTGCAGACAATTGTGTGCCTTTAAAGGAAATAACAACAAGAATTAGGAGCGCCCTGGAGGCAAGGTAAAATTTGGCCTGTGTAATCAATCATATCTGCTTCACTGAACCATAATGACTGTGTACAGGAAGACATCTTCAGTGGGGCAGACTTGTTTCTATGAAATCCTTAACATTTTGTGGGAGAGAAAGCAGTTTTATAGTTAGCTTTTAACATGCTCAGTCATAACTACTTTTCTTGGGCATAGGTGAGTTGTATTGGTGTGCAGTTATGGTAATATGTCAAAAAATAAAGATAAGTACGTCAGTAGAACAGCTGGCCTATTTTAAAAATAGTGTCTTTAATAATTCAAGCTAAGAAATAGGCTCAATTGTGTAATATCCAACATCGCAATAACCATTTACAAATGGTGAATTGTGGCAGCTGCCCTCAGTTTCCTCCAGAATTATTTCCCTCAAATCAAGTAAAGTCAAAGATTCGGAGATAGATATATGACCTTGAGGAACAATTTTCAGGAAACACAAAACAAACAATATACTAGTGTCTGCAACTAGGGAAAAAAGCTGTAATGCTGTAAGGAGTCACCAAACTATAATGGTAGCCAATAAAAGTATTACAAATGCCAAGCAGATGAAGCTTTGTAAAGTAAGTCACTTTATCATCTAGTTCTTTAGTTTCTGTTTTCATTGAAGTTCAGACATGCAGCAAGTATTTTATTTAACTACTTAGGGGGTGATATTAAGTCTCTATAATACGTGACTTTCTTTGCACACATTTCCCATAAGTCATTCCAAACTACTTTCATACAACGTAAAGGAGAAATTGGGAAAATCTTCAGTCAACCATCACACCTTAGAAAGTGATCCCTGAATTCGAATGTCCATGTTATATACTGAATAGTATGACCTATCAGAGGAAATACATGAGTACCTAATCTTGAGGAAGATTATGGTCTTGATGATGAAATTGATGAGGGTGAAGAAGTTATTCATGATGATGATGATGACACTACTACTACCAATGATCATAGCACCTCACATTTTCAGGGTGCATACTCTGGGCCAGTTTTGCATACATTATCTCATTTAATCTTTTCAAAGCCCTGTCAGGTTGGTCATATTATTATCTCCCTTTTACAGGAAAGTTCACTGAAATAAATTACATAGGCAGTATAGCACTTGTAAGTTCTCTCCATTCTAGTCTTGTCTCTCTGTTACCACAAAAATTAATGGAACTTAGTTATAGTAATTGTTATTAACAGAAAAATTGGAGGACAGACAGTGTGCAGTTTGGTTGGAGGAAGAGCTCGACAGCTCTCCACCTGGATAACAATCAGTTAATGGATGTAGATATCAGGAATAAGGGAGAAAGCTCTTCAAGCTGCAGATCATTATGCAGCAGCTCAGCATGTTTATTAATCATTGTGCACAATTAAAATGCCATTTCATCCCTCTAATTAAAACAAGTAGTTCCCTGAGGCTAGCACCTGAACTAATGAAGCCTGGTTGCCTAAGGATCTCACTCAGGGAAGGGAATTAAACAATGGAGGAAGCAGTATGTTTACCAGGTTGCCCAGACAACGTCAAACTGTATATGACATCATGAGCGAGTGGACCAGTTGAGACTGTAATTTTAAAGAGCCAGAGATGCTTCTTTTTCTGAGCAAAATCTGGATTTCAATATTGAAATTTTTCTAAATTTGTAATCGGTTGGTATCAATATACCTGAATTAGAATGTCCATGTTATGTAGTGAAAATCATGACCTCTAAGAGGACAAGCATGAGGATCTAATATTGAGCAAGCTAAAAATGTTAGGTGCCATTATCATTAGTGATAGTATTGTCATCATCATTATCATCAATAACTTTTTCACCCTCATCATCAAGACAATTGGTATGTTGATACCAACCAATTGTATACTGTACAATAAATTCTAAATTTTCTTTCTTCTTGGTATGTGGAATGGGTATCTTGATGTTTGGAGAGAGGATTTGGAGGAATTCTCCATTGGCATCTAGGTATTTGGGAGGCTGAAGGGATTTTTGAAATCGGTTGACTCTAGAAATAAAAGGGTATAGATAGGTTATGGAGCCACAATTTAAAATAGAGGGTAGATAAATGGGCTAGATGAAAGAAAACCTAGGATTCAATCCCAGTATTGCCACTTGAACTGAATGACCCTGAACAAAGTCCTTAGAAAATAGAAGGACTGAACTAGGTAATCATCAAGTTTTCTTCTAGTTCCAAAATTCTATGGCTTTGTGGTAATTTGTGATTAACATAACAGTGCAAAGAGATTTCATTGTATCCCAGTTCCCTTACAAGTTTGGCTGAATCAAGTCTTACTTATTCTTTCCTTCTAATTCCTGTTCAGCTCACCAGCATATCTTTGGTGTCTGATACTATACTTGGCATATAGAAGTTGCTTAATTAAATATACATGGAAAATATCAATCAGGTTAAACCTACAGATCTCAGTAATACACAGCTTTCAGTGCCTTGCTTCAAATATTTAGGAGCAACCCTACATATGATTCTGCATTATTTATCTGAGAAGTGGCAAACCTGAGGGTTATGAAAGCTGCTTTCATTTCAGCCCATCTGTGAACTCAGTTTTGTACAATTCTGTACTTGAAAGCTGTGGTCTCATGTTGCCTCCTCTTGTACTAGGCAAGAAGCCATGGCTTATTCTTCCCGTTTTCTACCTGTCATCCCTTTAGTCGCCTTGATTCCCTGATATCCCAGAAAAATAGTCATGCCTGGAAGTTGGAGGAACTTAGGAGCATTGGTTTTTTTTTTTTTCTTTTTGGAGATGGAGTCTTGCACTGTGGCCCAGGCTGGAGTACAGTGGCGTGATCTCAGCTCACTGCAATCTCCACCTCCTGGGTTCAAGCAATTCTCCTGCCTCAGCCTCCTGAGTAGCTGGGACTACAGTTGCATGCCGCCACACCTGGCTAATTTTTTGTATTTTAGTAGAGATGGGTTTTACTGTATTGCCCAGGCTGGTCTTGAACTCCTGAGCTCAGGCAATCCACCTGTCTCGGCCTCCCAAAGTGCTAGGATTATAGGCATGATCCTCTGAGCCTGGCCGGAGCATTGGTTCTTATTTTTTATGGGTCATAGAGTTTCATGAAAATCTGATAAATTTCATGAAATCTTTCATCAGAAAAATGTGTAGCATGATTTTGCAAACAATTGTGGGTTATGAGGTTCACAGAGTTTTGGAAGCTCATCTGTGGAGCTCAGGTTAAGAACTCTTATTTTAAAGCGTTATGTAAGAATTTCTAACAGTCCTTTAGGGGTCCTATGTCTCTCCTCCCTTCTTGCCTCCCTCCAGCATGTGAAGAAAGATGGCCAGCTAACAGAAAAATAGGTTTTTTTGTTTGTTTGTTTCCTTGTTGCTGTTTTTTTTTTTTTTTGGTAGAGACAGAATATGCATGTGCATGTCAATGGCAAGTTGTTCTTTACAGTGTGGCCAGTAGGCTCCAGAATGAGGCGTAATGATTTTAGTTATTTCCTCTTCTACCTTCTTTATTTATAACCAGGCATCTGGCTTTGATGTATTTACTTTAAACAAAGTAAAAGGACAACAGCGAGGTGGTAATAATCACACTAGTAAAAAATAGGCAAAGCATAGAAAAATATTAGGGCCTTCATTTTCTCACACTGTTCATCCTATTCTTCAGGCGAGGAATATGTTGGTAACTGGAAATTACAAGCTCAAGTTATCCGACTTATGAATCTAAGAATTTAATCTTTCTGTTTTTGAAGAATTGTTCATATGTTGAACCTAAATCTTTCTTTCCAAACTGAAGTTCAGTTTCTCTTGTACATCATAGTAGGAAATGTAACTTGGTCAATAAGACATCCAGAAACTAGCAGAAATCAGCCAATAACTCAGATTTAAGTGGCATGATAATTGGGTTTCCTAAGCATTTTTTGGTATTAAAACAAGTTAATCAACCATAAAACACAAACTCATCAGAATCTAAGGTCTTATTCAATTAACTTCTGGCCTCAAACACTTAAGTGTTTTTTTTCTTTCTTTCTTTCAAATCATTATGTCATATTTTGCCAAGAGAGAAGGGATGGTCTGGAGTGAAAAATTCCAAAGATGGAATAAGAGCCAATCCTTTTAAACTGTATCATTTTATCCATGATTATTATTTTTAGTAAAAATAAAAACAAAAGTTTTCTTCTTGCCCAGAAAGGAGATGAAATCTTAAACTTACAAGTTGAAACAGAAGGACTGAAGTTTTATAGTTTTTTGTTTGAAGTGACCCTTGTATTCTTATATTTACTCAAAACATTGGATAAACTAGAAATTTGGGAGGCAAAATAACTATTAATATAATACCATCAACACATGATTTTCTGCCTAGATACTTTATTTTAAGTTGATTTACAACTGCTTAAAATCTTTTCTTGGTATGAAGGTCATAAATTAATGGTTAAAATAGGCAAGTGTAAACCTTTACTAGTCCTCAAATCACAGCTTTAGCTTAAGCTTTCCTGGATGTGAGCCTATAAGTTGCCAAACTACTGTGGTAGAGTTAAGAGAGAAAAGGAGGCTTTTTCCCCCTTTTTATCAGACAAAACTGTGTTAAAATCCCATATGCCATATATTTAGCTATCTGACCCTGGGTAAATTATTTAATCTCTCTGAGCCACGGTTTTCAGCTGTAAAGCAGTAGGAAAAACATTCTTCTGATAAGGTTCATGGTAGGCACACTGATTTAAAAAATCAGTTATTTCCCTATTCCTTGAATTGTTATTACACTTGGATGGTGTCACTATGACTACAAAGGTAGCAGAAAAAAATGCAATGACTCTATGAGATAGTTAAAAGATCAGGAAAGGCAGTGGGTCAAAATTTTGGTAGACAACTCAAGAGTTAGGACATAGCACAATCTGCATTGCTTAACACTGAGACCATGTTCTGAGAGATGCATTATTAGTCCATTTTGATATTGTACAAACATCATAGAGTATCCTTACAGAAACCTAGCTTGTGTAACCTCCCACACACCTAGGCATACAGCCTGTTGCTCTTAAGCTACAAAA